TTGAAAGTGACCCTTTTTCTGTGGCGGTACTCACCTTATCCAGGGGCAGACCAGGGTTCTTAGCTCGAGCCGCAATGAGCTGGCACTAGGAGCGTGGTTCGCGTCACGAGCTAGCTCTTTAAGGGGAAGTGGGAGCCAAAAGTAGATCCAGGCACCCATTGGCACATGTCATTCTTGCAACCCCACACACGCACGTTTTCTGTCTTCCTTGATCTTTTGTGTTTATTGACCTTGGCTTTGTAACTGACTCTGAGTTTATCTTGTTTGTCATCTGACTGATTAACGTGTACCTTACTCTGGCTAGTTCTCGTTTTCACTGTCTCTCCGTTGCCCTGACCTCGGCTCTTCTCTGATTACGCTTTATCTCGGTCTGACGTTTAGTCCGGCCATTCTAAGGCCCAGCAATACATTATATATCCTAGTCTTATCCCTTGCTATGCTAAACTCTACGTGTTAGGGTAATACACCGTGACATTTTCATTGTTAATATGTTTTAGATAGCAATTTAGGAAACAATATTTGCTTGGCTAAGAATTAATGGTGACATTTTTAATGTAGTGTTATGCATATGGTAAACAGATCAAAGGAAGAATACATGTACTGACAGTTTTAAATGAGTGCGTCTGATGGCACTTAGTCATAGGTTAGATGGTGCGGGGTTTCTTCCTCTGATCATAAGATTCTATACAGTAAGTTTGTATTTGTGCTGCTTTGTGGATTAAGCCGGGGCTGTAATTGTTCATTACATGGCTTGTGAGATCTGTGCTACATTAGAGATATCAGAATAAATTTATATACATTTTCTATTCCCATCGAAAACGTGAGGTCCAGACCCGTAGCATTATGCGGGGAGAGAGGAAATGATGGACAGAGATGTCTGCTGTACAGAAAGCTGTGACTGTGAATTTCTATTCTCTTTATCATATATTAGAATATCTGTGCCCCTGCAGGATCTTCCAAGACAATGCTAATACTAGGAATAACGGCTGATTGATTAGAGGTGTGTGGCCCATGAATGTGTTTCCATAGTTTGCTTTTCCTCGTAGATCTGAATCTGGAGAATGACTGATGGCTTTCATGGGGCAAGGACTAGCACTGTATCTCAGCAGCTCATCTGAGTCTGGTAGAGAAAGGCGTTCGGTTTGATAACCCAATCTACGTGTCATTATCTAACACAGGATCCAGATACATATTCCAAGTAGGAGACAAGGTGCACAGAGACCAGTGTTTACGAGGGAATCATATCTTTCTTTTTAGATACAGAATGTTCTCTTCTTGTAACAAATGCCAACAATCAGATTGTATATTCATGGAATCATGATTTGTTGGTGAACTTTCTGAGTTGACCGTCAGTCTGTCTCTCTGTCCACCAATCCTATAAACAGAATAGACAGCGCTATTAGTTCTCTCATCCTCCCTTTATTCTTGTAGGAGTCTCGCTCTGATTGTGCTACGTGTAAGGCTCCTGGGAGATTTAATCAAGATGTTGGAATATCGAGTGAGTGCGGCTTACGATCCATTCTCCAAATTACTAGTTGGTTTTGCCAGACCACATGAAAAGCAATGTATTCACAAGCCGAAAATCTGCTGAGCACTGCACGATCTATAAGAAGCAGGTCAAGAACACTGACCTACAATGATTTTAACCCCATGATAGGGTTGGATTTATTTAATACAGATAAACTTGAAGGGACACTCCACTGTCCAAATAAAAGCAAAACTAAAACCACTGATTTAGGGGACAGGAGTGTCCCTTTAACTCTGATAATTGAATCTTCTAGTGACATCTTTGAGGAAATGGCTGGCCATTTCTCACGTCATATGTCTTTTTATGGAATCCAGGTCATAGTCTGTAAGCCTCGTCACCACTTCTTCCTCTAACTGGTTACAGCCTCAGATTGTACATTTCTTCCAAATACGTGGACTTTATAAATAAAGTAATTATAATGAACCGCTTATATAAACCATGCAACAACAATATCTCTGTTTCTCTGGATTTTATTGGCAGCATACTTTTTACTCATTTTACTGTCATTTTTGTGTCCAGGATGTAAGATCTGTAGTCCTGTGCTTCCCTCCAGAGGCCAATTTTGAGCCTATTTTGTGTCTATTCACTCGAGCACTGAATGCAAGTTGTTGTGTTAGTTATGAGGCAAAAAAAAAAAACATGAATAAAACTATTCAGTAAGTTACTACAAAAAGTTCTGCAGCCCTTTTTTCCCCATTTTGGATCTAATCAGTAAACGGGGAATTGCTGGGAGTTGAAAAATTGATTTACATTTTTAAAGCAAAATTGCAAAGTTTGGAAAAGGCTCAATTTAGGCAAGTTTGTACAAAACAACCGAGAACTCAATACATCTCACTGATTTCCACAAAATCACAAATATTTCTAGTTTACTTCAAATCTAGTAAAGAGAAACAAAAACTAAAAAAATCAAATCAATAAACCACTCAATTTATTGCCTGAAGGAATTATACGTCCCCAGCACCACCTGCCTTTGCTAACAGTGAAGGATAGCAGAAGGCAATTTAATAACGTACTGCAAATCTCATTTGATTAGCTTACATTAATACCCAAGGTAGGAAATTCTGAGCAATGACAAGCCAAAACTATATATCCTGTAGTTATATAGTGCCCCCTGCTGCTTTGTTTACATCATTACAGAATGTTTGATATAAAGTGGAGTTATTCACTAAAGTGAGTATTCAGAGAGAATTGAAAAGTTATTTAAAATTTACTGGGACACTACAGGCACCCAGACCACTTCATCTCATTGTCCCTGTTCCCTTTAGTCCTGCAATGTAACTTATGTTTTTGAGAAAGTACCTGTGGCACCCAGAGGGTTCTTCCACAGGTTCGTCGGAAGGTGAGTAGCAGCTAGTGGGTATCGATGGGCCCCTCTGCCTCTCTGTTATACAAGCCAGGAAAGTCATGAAGGTATCGTCCAGCTACTGTGTCTCAATAGAGGGCCTACTTGCCACCACCGCCATTTTGGGAGTAGAATGCCTCTGTCGGTGCAGACAATATGGATAAGAGAGATGGGACCTGGGTCCTGGGACCGGGTTAAACCCCACTGGTTCAAAGGGGGGGACAAGGCATTGGCCAGTAGAGGTGATGAGAGAGCAGCCTCCTCCCTCATGTCAGCCACATTAACAGGCCATGAAAAAGGAACTGGCAATTGCTGTGGAAAGGTCGGCTTAAGTGGCATCCTCATGGAGATCTGGATGTCCACACTCACTTGGTGCCCAATATTTGTCGATTAATGCCCTCCAGCACTTAATAATCGGCTAAATTCACCCTGAACTGCAGGAGCTGCAGTGACTTCCTCTGCACAGTGTCCAGGCCACTTGAAAAAGACCTAAAAGGGTTGAAACGTTGATCGGGACTGATAGTATTTACTTACTTAAATAAAAACACTTTGGAAAGACCTCTCAGTGCACCCTTTTTCCTTGGATTATATTAACTATGGGGTAAATTTACTGGACTATATATATATATATATATATATATATATATTTATATATACAAAGCAAAATTTGTTCATTTGTTTTATATATATATATATATATATTCTACGTGAATATTTTTGTAATCTTTTTACATAATTAAGTTATTTTATTAATTACAATTTGAGGGACCTGCAGAAAGTCCAGAGAATTTAATTTGTAAGCCCCATATGTAACCCTGTAACTTTCCAAAACACCATAATCCCTGGACATGAGGTTTAATGTTGTACTTGTGAGACTTCGCTGAACACAGATATGAGTGTTTCAAAACAGTAAAACTTATCACAACAATGATATCATCGGTGAAAGTCCAGTTTGTTTGTGAAAAATACCAGAAATAAATATGCACGCTAACTTTGGCCAGGGTTTGTGAGTAAATGGCTACTAAAAAAGACTGAACATACCCCATTTTGAATGATCTGGATTGTCCACTTTTGCAAATGGTATGCTATGGGGGGTGAATTTTCATTTGTGGGCTACTATACGGTCTCAAAGACAGAAAATCTGGCAAATTTCAATGTGTAAAAACTGAAAAAGGGGTAAGCCCTATATTTAACACCATAAAACCTGGACATGGGGATACTATCATACTCGTGAGATATTGCTGAACACAAATATGTGTATTATATTGCAGTAAACGCTAACAGTGTTATGACATTCACTATTAAAATTCGTTAAATTCTCACACTTTTTTATATTTTATTCATATAAAATTATGTTTTATTTATAGATATTTGGTGTGAAATTAAATCCCTGTTTCTCCTGAACAAAATGAGATATAATAATTTTAATATGAAAGAGATCAATTTTGTTTGAACAGGCATATAGTCAAATTTCAGGTTTTGTTATTTTGTTTTGATCAGAACTTGTACAATTGCCTCCGTCCTTAATGGGTTAATAACCCTGAAAGAGAATTTCATTTCTAGGCCAAAATAGCAGAAATTAAAACATTAAGTTTTTCAATATTTATTTTGGCCTAAAAAGTTAAAATCCATTTTGAATTCACTTTTTATCCCTGACAATTCACACTTTAATTATTAAATTTAATGATCCTTCCATCAAGGCTTAAAAGGAAATAGATTATTTGTTAAATGAAGTAGATGTAAAATAATAAAAAATCATCCCATACTTTAGTATATGACAGGATCCTTCAGCCATATACAAACACCTTGGGTCAGACAGTGTTGGAAAACTAACAACTAACAATTAGTCTCTATGGTCTCTATAGTTAGTCTCTATGGTCTTCCCTGTTTCTACACAGTGAGTGAAGCTAGGAAGACCATAGAGACTAGCTGTTGGTTTTCAGTTTTACATAATTTTCTGCTATTTCGGCCTGAAAATGATGTTCTTTTTAAGAGTTACTCACTAACGTGAGATTTCAAGTGAATTTCAAATATAAGGCCAGAGTAGCCGAAACTGAAAGCTTTTCCGTTTCAGCAATTTTGACCTTAAATTTTAAACTCATTCTGAACTCTCCCCTTGTCAGCATCTTCTCATTCGGCGTCTCCATGTGTCAGCATGTCCTCATTCTGTGGGGAGCGCCTAGCATCTCCAAGTGTCAGCATCTCCTCATTCTGTGGGGAGCGCTCGGCGTCTCCATGTGTCAGCATCTCCTCATTCTGTGGGGAGCGCTCGGTGTCTCCATGTGTCAGCATCTCCTCATTCTGTGGGGAGCGCTCGGTGTCTCCATGTGTCAGAATCTCCTCATTCTGTGGGGAGCGCTCAGCATCTCCATGTGTCAGCATCTCCTCATTCTGTGGGGAGCACTCACCGTCTCCATGTGTCAGCATGTCCTCATTCTGTGGGGAGCGCTCAGCGTCTCCATGTGTCAGCATGTCCTCATTCTGTGGGGAGCGCTCGGCATCTCCATGTGTCAGCAGCTCCTCATTCTGTGGGGAGCGCTCAGCATCTCCATGTATCAGCATCTCCTCATTCTGTGGGGAGCGCCTAGCATCTCCATGTGTCAGCATCTCCTCATTCTGTGGGGAGCGCCCAGCGTCTCTACGTGTCCGCATCTCCTCATTCTGTGGGGAGCGCTCAGCATCTCCATGTGTCAGCAGCTCCTCATTCTGTGGGGAGCGCTCGGCGTCTCCATGTATCAGCATCTCCTCATTCTGTGGGGAGCGCTCAGCATCTCCATGTGTCAGCATCTCCTCATTCTGTGGGGAGCGCTCGGCGTCTCCATGTGTCCGCATCTCCTCATTCTTTGGGGAGTGTGTCAGCATCTCCTCATTCTGTGGGGGGCGCCCAGCATCTCTATGTTTCAGCATCTCCTCATTCTGTGGGGAGCACTCACCGTCTCTACGTGTCCGCATCTCCTCATTCTGTGGGAAGCGCTCAGCATCTCCATGTGTCAGCAGCTCCTCATTCTGTGGGGAGCGCTCAGCATCTCCATGTGTCAGCATCTCATCATTCTGTGGGGAGCGCTCAGCGTCTCCATGTGTCAGCATCTCCTCATTCTGTGGGGAGCACTCACCGTCTCCATGTGTCAGCATGTCCTCATTCTGTGGGGAGCGCTCGGCATCTCCATGTGTCAGCATCTCCTCATTCTGTGGGGAGCGCTCGGCATGTCCATGTGTCAGCATCTCCTCATTCTATGGGGAGCGCCAAGCATCTCCATTTGTCAGCATCTCCTCATCCTGTGGGGAGCGCCCAGCGTCTCTACGTGTCCGCATCTCCTCATTCTGTGGGAAGCGCTCAGCATCTCCATGTGTCAGCAGCTCCTCATTCTGTGGGGAGGGCTCAGCATCTCCATGTATCAGCATCTCCTCATTCTGTGGGGAGCGCCTAGCATCTCCATGTGTCCGCATCTCCTCATTCTATGGGAAGCGCTCAGCATCTCCATGTGTCAGCAGCTCCTCATTCTGTGGGGAGCGCTCGGCGTCTCCATGTATCAGCATCTCCTCATTCTGTGGGGAGCGCTCAGCATCTCCATGTGTCAGCATCTCCTCATTCTGTGGGGAGCGCTCGGCGTCTCCATGTGTCCGCATCTCCTCATTCTTTGGGGAGTGTGTCAGCATCTCCTCATTCTGTGGGGGGCGCCCAGCATCTCTATGTTTCAGCATCTCCTCATTCTGTGGGGAGCGCTCAGCGTCTCCATGTGTCAGAATCTCCTCATTCTGTGGGGAGCGCCCAGCGTCTTTATGTGTCAGCATCTCCTCATTCTGTGGGGGGCGCCCAGCATCTCTATGTTTCAGCATCTCCTCATTCTGTGGGGAGCGCTCAGCGTCTCCATGTGTCAGCAGCTCCTCATTCTGTGGGGAGCGCTCGGCGTCTCCATGTATCAGCATCTCCTCATTCTGTGGGGAGCGCTCAGCATCTCCATGTATCAGCATCTCCTCATTCTGTGGGGAGCGCCTAGCATCTCCATGTGTCAGCATCTCCTCATTCTGTGGGGAGCGCCCAGCGTCTCTACGTGTCCGCATCTCCTCATTCTGTGGGAAGCGCTCAGCATCTCCATGTGTCAGCAGCTCCTCATTCTGTGGGGAGCGCTCGGCGTCTCCATGTATCAGCATCTCCTCATTCTGTGGGGAGCGCTCAGCATCTCCATGTGTCAGCATCTCCTCATTCTGTGGGGAGCGCTCGGCGTCTCCATGTGTCCGCATCTCCTCATTCTTTGGGGAGTGTGTCAGCATCTCCTCATTCTGTGGGGGGCGCCCAGCATCTCTATGTTTCAGCATCTCCTCATTCTGTGGGGAGCACTCACCGTCTCTACGTGTCCGCATCTCCTCATTCTGTGGGAAGCGCTCAGCATCTCCATGTGTCAGCAGCTCCTCATTCTGTGGGGAGCGCTCAGCATCTCCATGTGTCAGCATCTCATCATTCTGTGGGGAGCGCTCAGCGTCTCCATGTGTCAGCATCTCCTCATTCTGTGGGGAGCGCCGTCTCCATGTGTCAGCATGTCCTCATTCTGTGGGGAGCGCTCGGCATCTCCATGTGTCAGCATCTCCTCATTCTGTGGGGAGCGCTCGGCATGTCCATGTGTCAGCATCTCCTCATTCTATGGGGAGCGCCAAGCATCTCCATTTGTCAGCATCTCCTCATCCTGTGGGGAGCGCCCAGCGTCTCTACGTGTCCGCATCTCCTCATTCTGTGGGAAGCGCTCAGCATCTCCATGTGTCAGCAGCTCCTCATTCTGTGGGGAGGGCTCAGCATCTCCATGTATCAGCATCTCCTCATTCTGTGGGGAGCGCCTAGCATCTCCATGTGTCAGCATCTCCTCATTCTGTGGGGAGCGCCCAGCGTCTCTACGTGTCCGCATCTCCTCATTCTGTGGGGAGCGCTCAGCATCTCCATGTGTCAGCAGCTCCTCATTCTGTGGGGAGCGCTCGGCGTCTCCATGTATCAGCATCTCCTCATTCTGTGGGGAGCGCTCAGCATCTCCATGTGTCCGCATCTCCTCATTCTTTGGGGAGTGTGTCAGCATCTCCTCATTCTGTGGGGGGCGCCCAGCATCTCTATGTTTCAGCATCTCCTCATTCTGTGGGGAGCGCTCAGCGTCTCCATGTGTCAGAATCTCCTCATTCTGTGGGGAGCGCTCGGCGTGTCCATGTGTCAGCATCTCTTCATTCTGTGGGGAGCGCTCAGCGTCTCCATGTGTCATCATCTCCTTATTCTGTGGCGAGTGCCCTGCGTCTCCTTGTGTCAGCAACTCCTCATTCTTTGGGGAGTGTGTCAGCATCTCCTCATTCTGTGGGGAGCGCTCGGCATCTCCATGTGTCAGCATCTCCTCATTCATTCTCCTCACACTTGCTCTACAATTTAAAGACAACCATAGTTATGACGTCTTACAATCACAGGTCCGAATGAATGGAAAAGCCATCTAAGCTGTAGCGGAGTAGTAGTATTATCCACGGTATCTCCGCTGGTAGACAGAATTAAGCAGGCACAAAGCAGGTAAAATCCAGGTAGCGTAGTTACAATCCCTTCCTCCCAAGAACTAGACGACACATAGCTTGGAGGTCAACTGAGGTTTTATTTTCAGGTCACGGTATTTATGGGATTCCCCATGCAAGGGGTTTCCTTACTGACATTTCAGGGGTGGTACAGTAGGGGACTACATGGGGAACTGACCAACACATAAATTTTTCCCATCATGCACTGCTGGACGAGAGGGATACTCCCACTAGGATATACCATTAATGGGATTATCCCTCCGTGCAGCAGAACTTACATTTTACATTAAAATGTATACATTTACTAATATTCACTTGATTTACATGAATGGACGTTCGGTAGATAGCTGGAGGCTGAGCGCATAGTTCGTGAGAATACTGCTCAGCTCCCAGTCTAACTAACCTAACGCCGCACGAAATACACATTATTTCTAACATAGGTTTAAAATACCGATTAGTATAAGGGGAACAAACTACCGAATGGCCGGAGTTCCCGAACGGCCTGGAAGTCCAGCGGTGTTCGCGCTGTCGAGTAGCCATTTTTAGCTCCAGGCGCTCGACGGCAAAACACCGCTGGGCTAACAAAAGAATCAAGATGGCCGACCGCCACGTGGTCGGTAGTCGAACGACGGCCACCTAGAAACACACCTAATTACCGATTGCAACAGTGTTGCAATCGGTTAATGGGCACCACACAACCTCCTGTGTGTGGTTGTGCATTCGGTAAGTTATTCGTTTCACGAACAGTGCTTAAACTCACTGTTCATGAAACTACAGTATGAATGCTGGGGTTTTCCTACCGCCAGCATACGAATGCCCTCATTCGCCTGGAATACAAATAGAATCCTGCACTGATCTCTATGGCTTAGCAAGAATACAAACATACTTATACATTAATAGTCTCCAGTGGCTAGTTTTGCCACATAAGCCTTCCATCTTTCCAAGTTTAATCAAATAAGTTGCATCGAGCTGGTTATCTAAATTGAGACACCAGGGCAGACATGGAATCACTACTCTGAGCTAAATATACTCTGCTACCCTTACTGACTCTTCAGGATTTCTGACTAAAATGTTATCCCATGTGGTGTGATATGTGATATGAATGTAAAGATCACTAAAATGACTTACACCGCGCCACCACTTCAGGGATAATATTTTAATGTTTAATATATTACACCTAATTTATTTATTTTACGTCCAGTTTATAATTTTTGTTTAATTATTTTGAAAGAATAATGAATTAAAAACCACATTTACATGTTAATTGTTTTCTCATGTTTTATGATTAAGTTTAGTGTCCAGGATGCACCCACCAATGAGCTTTGCTGTGCACCATTATGGCCTGTATGCCGTGTCAGGAGTATCAGACATTTGGATATTTACAGATTTATTGAATGAAAAAGAGTGTAAATTGTCAATAATTTAAAATTAATTCAAAGATAATGTAAAATGTTAGATCAAAACAAGCGAACTGAGAACTTAACTGATTTCAGCTATTGTGCAAATCTTGGTACAAACAATGTTAAAAGCATTGCTAATTTAAAGCAGTCAGCACCATTATGTGTTTTTATGCATTTCTTTTCATACGCGCTGAGATGTGTCGACCTCGGGCCATCTACAGAGTATTGAGTACTATTGAGTATTACTACAACTCTTTCACAATCTATATTTGGTTTGGGCTTATCACCTAAACGTTTACTTCACTATACTGCTCCACTCTTGTTTATATATTTCACTATGATAAATTGTCTAAACCACGTATGAGTTTGAACAGCGTCCACTCAATGCTCACTCATCTCAGTAATTATCACACTGAAGTGATTCCACAATTGGATTATGAATCAAATGATCTATTCCTCAAATTTAGCCATATTATAAATGTTAACGTATGACTTAAAGGGACACTGTAGTTACCAGAACCATTACAGCCTATTGTAGCTGTTCTGGTGTGTATAGTAAGTCCCTACAGAATTGTCAACATAAACACTGCATTTTTAGTGTTTACATTACTGCCTTTTAACCCCTTAAGGACCAAACTTCTGGAATAAAAGGGAATCATGACATGTCGCACATGTCATGTGTCCTTAAGGGGTTAAAACCTCTAGGTGCAGCCATTCAGACGGCCACTAGAGGTGCTTCCTAGTCCATTGCTTAGCAGTGTCTAGCACCTATGTTCAGCATCTCCACGCTCTGCATTTCTACATACATGTTTGTATTCCTTTAAACTCCATTGTCTAAGCCATTAACTGCATGGGATGGGATGTGCAGTGAAAAGACTGGAAAGATTTATTTACTAAAAGGGAAGTTGTGGAGAGTTGGTATGCAACCTATATTACCAACAGTAGCTAGGTTTCAACACCAATTAATCATTTCCTTCAACAGCTGTATTCCTGCTGTTTGTTATGTTACCAGTAGATGGCAGTATTGACTATGTTTGGAATAATGTGATTTCAAAACTTGTATCATTCTTGTAGCTGTACAGACAAATATTATTTGGTTTATATAGAATCAGCATTTACTTCAGAGCCGCAGTTGCTATAAATTAATAGTAAAGTTACAGTGAGACTATAGAACATGTTGTTATACTAGGCTGAGTCACTTCAGATAGTCCAAATATATAAAGATTCCATTAGTTTGGCAAACAGGATTCCTGTAACTGTACCCAGTGGGAAGATTGACCTCGCTGTAGATTGACAGGGTGTCCGCTCAGATGTCCTCGAGGCTCGAACATTAATTAATGACTATTCATACATTATCATCGAATGTATGTGTTTGGAAGGTGGTGGAAGATTCTTCCAATAAGATGAGACGGCAGAATGTATGCAGTGTTACATAATATATGCTAGGCCTCGTATAATGCATTTCTGTCCAAACCCAATTAATGCCAATCTTAATATAATACATACAAGTCCTTACATTTTTAGTTTCAGTCCTATAAGAATTCATTCTATTCATAACAGCATACATACCACTCCTTACATAACGCGTACTAGCCATTACATATTGCAAGCTGATCTAAACATAATAAAGGATGGTGTTTAATCCCTTAAGGACCAAACTTCTGGTATAAAAGGGAAACCTTAAGGGGTTAAAGAAAGGTTCTTTGGTCTATAGAGAGACACACTATTGGGTCTGCCATAGAGAGACCATCAATCCACAGTGAGACACACTACTGGGTCATTCACAGAGAGACATTCAATTTACAGCGAAATTCACTACTTGGTCTTTCATAGAGAGACCTTCAATGTACAGCGAAACACGCTGCTGGTATTCAATCTCAATCGAGACACACTCATGGTTCAGTCCAATTTTGGTTTATGAGAATTGACACAACATAGAAACTATGAATCCTATTATGCAATGGAAAAAATCTTTCTACTTTGTAAAATATAAACACAGTTCCTCTTTTGATCAATCTGTCACCAAATGTTGTGTTAAAATGTCACAATTCTCTGTTCTTTATCATAAACAATGTGTCAGTTATGATACCTGACTTTATCTTCCATTGTTACTCTACACCATCTCCTGTAAACTATACTCTCCGTACCTTCAAAGGTGTCATGCAGTCGAAAACACTCAACATTTATCATTCTGCAATCTACAATTGCTTAATTCTGTTCACAGCAGTGAGAGGACTGCAGGTACAATTTAGTGTTACGTAGACTTGTGTACAGTGAAAAAACGTGGTTTGTCTGGAGAGGGGGCGTGGCCGACCGAGCAACAGAGAAGTCGTGATTACACAGAGCTCTGTCCCAGATCTCTGAAAAAGTTGTTTTTAACTATGAAAAAGCTCCAAAACACACTGTGTGACTTCTGCCCTCATACAGAAGACAATATGGGGTGAAAGAACAAAAAACCTCACTACCCAGAGGCTCCAAAAATGCAAGATAGATTATCCTTTGAAAGGCCTACCCCGCGGGCTACCTCTAAGATGACGCCCAACCCACCAATCGAAGATGAGGCCTGTGAGAACTATCAAGAGGAAGAGGAAGCCCCTGCCTCACAATCAAAGGGGATCCCCTCTAACGAGACAGAGTCTGATGAGGACTCCTCACCGGCAACAAAGAATCTCCTGCTTGATATACTGCTGGTGTGGAAGGCTGACCTCTTAGACATACGCACGGAGCTGGGGACCCTCAAACACAAAATCACAGCAATTGAAACCAAAGAGGTAGCCAGAGAGCAGAGGGTGCTAGACACCCAAAACCATAGACAAGAACTAACGGAGCAGGTGCAGAAACTTACCAAATCGATGATAGTGATGGAGTCCAAGCAGAGAAGGAGGAACATCCAACGTCGAGGCATCCCGGAACGCATTGAGGGAGGATGGCTCCCTACTGTTACCACAAGGAGACGACATACTCACCCTCTCCGCTCCTGAGAACCAAGAGACTTTCCTCCAGAGACTGTACTTACATACACCAACCCCAGTGAGAACCCAGAAGTTAGGGACAGGTGCGCAAGGACCCCTCAGAGTTCACCCTCTAAACTCACAGGCCCGACTCCCAGTTAAACCATGCTTCCTGTAGACACACCACAAACATAGAGACCCCCTGAGGTTAAAGCGCCAATAGTTATCACAGAATGTCACGCAGTGGGTGTCCACCTATCTACCTGTATACACCTCATTTGATGTCTAGCACATAGTAACTGTGTTTTCCAATTAATTCCTGCATAACCTCGAGATATAGTATCAGATCAGTAAAGGTGGGGTTGAGCAGGGAATAACTGAGGAGTGTATTTATCTCTACTTCTATTGCTTAGTACGAAACAGCACCATATGTTATACCATGTTGATTGCTACTATTATACTTATCACATTGATACTGTTCTAAAGTTGAAGCTTATTTTCTATTTACTCTCATGTTGTGAACAAGATGTATTTTAACTGTGAAAACACCAATAAAATACGAATTGGAAAAAAAACTTGGTTTGTCTGAACTGATTCGCTTGAAAAAAAATAAATTGGTTCGTGAGCTAAGTTTTGTCCATGTGGTATTTTGGTTCAGATAAATTTTATTAATGTGATCGTTTCAGGGAAAATTAGTTCGAAAGAAAAATGGAGCAAAAATGGGCCTATTAGTGTACTTAATTTTCGCATCAGTTGGTTCCACTTTTTTAGTGGACACAGCTCACAGTATTGGGTAGACATCTGAAACATGAAATAAATTAAATGGCTTGTCCATTTCCCATTTCATTAGTCTCGTGATACGACTTAATGACATTTCGGATTCGCAGAATTTGGCCGAATCACTAATCGCCCAAAATTTGGATGAATCATGATTTGTGTGAAGGCAAATGCACAAGTCTAATGTTTAGTGAATAGACCTAAAAGTAAAAGTTGAGACTAATCTGGGAATTTTGCTGATGTTACAACCAATGATTTTGGCAGGAACAGAATGCAGACAAGTTCCAACATTTTACAGTCTGTGCATTGGGGAAAATATCTGTAAAATGTTTGAACATACGGAATTAACTGAACCTTTTCATTTAAGTGAAATTATGACAAGTTAAAGAAATCTTTCCGACTCTGTTAAAGCCTTAAAAAAAAAATTTTTTTTTGTGCAATAGCAAGTGGCAGTCTCACATCACTAAAGTTGTCAAAGGAGAACTGTAAATTATATTATATAATGGCACATTTACTCATTTGGTTTCAAGTCTTCACGCCTAATCGCTGGTGAAGCAAGGCATCTACTATTTATTGGAAAAACCAAATGCCTTGAAATGACTATTATCTTTATCTAGGTTTTGCTACCTAATTTAGATCTGTGCCTAGAGTCCTCTGGGGTTAAATCCACAGCCAGAAGGTTTGTAAGTGAGATTAACATTCTCCAGAATGAGTAACATATCGAAAAAATGGATTTATAATAGTTTTGTTCCCTTTAAATGTCTTTGTTGAAAATGTATGCATACCATCAGCTACGCCCGCATGATTCCTATTTATCAATAACAATAGAGTTCTGTGTTTCTTTGCAAGGGTGTGATTGGCTTCTTGACAACGAACATATCAAGTTATTTCTTTGAAGTCCATAAAAAAGTGATGTTCATCCTGACAGTTGTGAATCATAGGTTATGGGGTTATACGATAGAAGGGAGGATCGATTCACGGAACAAACCCTGGAGCAATATGCAAATAGGCTTTAGCACTGCCAATACCAGCAAACTGATCAAATAGAAGACTTGGCAATGGTATATTTAACCTCTTCCTTTCCAAAAATGTGCCAGCATTGCATGCAGGACAACATTTAGCCCATAAAATCTCAGATAACTTCCTCTTTGCTCCTGTGATGTTTGTCACTCTTCAGACAAACAAATGTCTCGGCAAGGGCTCAGTACTGTCACTTTTCCCTCTCTTCTCCTTCCATACTCTTTCAACTTTGTAGGTCAAACTTTCTTACTTCTTTATAGCAGTTAGGTTGGTAGAGAAGAAGGATGGATAATTGTAACGGACTGCCTGGCACCCCGACTGGGTATCTCCGTTACTGGATGCCTCTACCGCTTCCAGAGGGCTCCAAGCGCTCTGCCAGACACCACAACCACCGCAGACCCCACGAACCGCCGTAGCTTGGTTGGGGTCTCACTGTCTCCTACCCACCCTGGACCTACGACAAGGCTCCAGGCTCCAGTGGGTGAACCTCTCCTCCAAGAGAGGGAAACAGGAACAAGCTCTTAAAAGAGCTTAGAAGTGATTAGCCAAGGGAGCATGCAGAGCATAGCAATCCCTTGTAGTGATATAGCTGGTTACCCCCAATAAGAGACAGGACCCTAGATTGAGAGTGAAGAGTAACTGTTTTACTTGGTACCAAAGGGCCTTCTTTTATGCAGGTTTTCACTACATAGGACCACCCACAGGGTTTTGCAGAACAACCAATAAACACGTAGTATACAGTTCAAACACTCCCATCAATTACACACAAACCCTCCCCTCTGCCTGTGATACAATTATCTCAACAACAATAGACTAACTTAATTATCACAGGCAGAAAATATACAGTTTTTACACAATTCTTATAACTTTAAAAGTATACATGCAATATTACATATTTGAAATCAGCGTCCTTTAAATGTAAACACACTCAAAAATCCTAAAAATCCATCCAGTAGTTCAAAAGTTAGTTGGACGTCCTTTATGACCGACCGCAAGCACATTTTCATGCCCAAAACAGTTCCATAGATTTGGACTATGGAGTCGGTCTATTTTACACAGGAAAAATCATTTGAATGCATGAACAGGGCCGTTCATGCATTTAGCTTAGTATAGCAGTGAGTTCAAACTGCCGACCGGGACTTAGTCTCTGTAGCTGAAAACTGAGTGTAGGAGAAGGTAAGGGTCAGCGGTGTTCGTTGAAATGTGTAGCCAATTTCAGTTCCATGGATTTGGCTACACATACAGCTGACCTCGTTCGAATGAACAAAGATGGCCGCCGCCACGTGTTTGTTTGTCGAATGACGGCCACTTCGACTACTTCGGCACTTTGGCTGCATTCGAAGTGCCAATTTAAAGCTGCAGAACTGCTCCAATACAATTTACAGGGCCAGCAAGAGTCTTTTAAAATACAATCTTTAATAGGCAATATCTTCCAGGGGCCATAGTCTTAAAGGGGCATTGTTCACTAAAGTCACAATGTGCCCACAGACGGTTCTTAAAGGGCCATACACAGTCCAATAAATGTCCATAAGCCCAAATTCTGGTTTAAAAGGGTACAATCTCCCAGGGGCCATAGTCGCAGGGGAGGAGGCAGGCAAGCAGGCCTCTCCAGGACAAAGTGGTGAAGGGCACTTCGTCACACAAAAATTCTCTTTGTGTTCTCAATAGTTCACACTTTATTGAATAACCTTGGTGACTGGTTAGGGAAAGTCTCTAAGGCCCCATGATTATAAATTGGATGAAACATTCCACATTGCCATCAGTGGTGGCAACATCCAACTTGGCTTAGATGACAGGGTATTACAAGGTCAATAACTAACCAGGAGTTTTCAAGAATTGACCAGCAAATGTCAAATTTTATTTGAATTGTAAATTGTAATAGTTGAATTGTAAAATTTGTAAAAAAAATAAATAAAAAAATAATAAGCTCTGATTGCTGCTTACGTATTTTGCAATTTATAACTCACCAGTCGATTGAATGTTTATTTAACAACCCAGTTTACCATCAGAATTGTCTATATGCTGCATTCAGGGAAGTTACAGATTGCGCTGGCAAAATATGCTATTTTCAATAATTCCAACAATTTATTTTAAAAAACAATTAAATATAAAAAAAAAACCCCCGAATGTATTTATGGCTTTAAGAATCAAATGTTACTGATCAAGGGCAAACTCGAAGTGCTGTGTGAGTGTGGAAAGTCCTCTTCCAGGAAAAACAAAACAGACAGAGTGTGAATGTTTTTGTGTTGCACTCAATATGTGACAATTGATTCTCATTGAGTTATTTCACGGCTTGACTCACCATTTAACAGAGTGCCTTGCGAACCCACTGAACTTTGGGTCACATCTTACCTTCATGACACAAACTTTAACAATCATTCACATAACGTGAAAATCCAAGTAAAGCCATAAAAACACATTGACACATAGAGTGGAATTAATAGCTTTCATGGATTATAAATATCTTCTTCTCTAATCTATAAACAGTGTTAGAGCGGAAATAGTTCGATCCTGGCTTTAATATGTCTGTTATTAGTTTTCTTCCCAACTGCTAGAACGTAGCTAAACTTTTAACATTGTTTAATGTTTTTCTAGATTCTCATTCACCAAGTAAAGGAATTTTATTTATCTTGGGATATAAAATAAACTGGTAGAACGTCCGGTAATTCTAGGCATATCAATGACTTCCATGGTAAATATTCTGTTTTTCCTGTGAGTCAGATGGAACGTGTTCAGAGAGGACAGGGTAACAGCAGTGAGTAAAATCAACCTTTTGACAAACACTTTGGGGTTATTTCATAAACAATAAATTTAAATCAATACCCAACACCTTGCTTTGGAGCTTAATAAAAACAACCAAACTGAAGCCAAATTGGGAAGGATTCTCCAATTCTGCTATAATCCCAGTTTGACTATTAAAGCTCACTTTTTGCATACTATGTTTTTAACCCCTTAAGGACCAAACTTCTGGAATAAAAGGGAATCATGACATGTCACACATGTGATGTGTCCTTAAGGGGTTAAGTCCACCACAGTAGCTAGTTGGCGACTAAACCCTGCTAAGGCTATGTGTTACGCAGGTAAATAGTTACATAGTAATCTAGGTTGAATGAATACCAAGGTCCATCACATTCAAGCTTTAAACCCCATTCCTTCATGATGTTGATCCAAAAGAAGGCAACAACTCCAGCTGTAGTGTATGCCATAAAATTGGTTAAAAAAAATATCTCGTTGACTCAATAACTGCAATCAGATTTCCCCTTGGATCTACAACCTCTTCACAGACAAATTCATTATATCCTTAAATATTCTCTGTTTGCAAACAAAATATCTATAGAATCTGATAAGACATCCCCTTTAGTCTGTTGACAGATTGCTGATATTATGTTATATAATCCAAATGACATTCACAGGGTTAAGTGAGATGCAATTTGAATTTCAAATCAAGGACAAAATAACCAAATTGGAAAATTTCTCTAAACA